GCAAGGATGCTACTAGGGGCTCCTGGCCTTACTACTAGGAGCAAGGACGCTACTAGGGGCTCCTGGCATCGCTACTAGGAATAAGAAGCTACTAGGGGCTCCTGGCCTTAGTACTAGGAGCAAGGACGCTACTAGGGGCTCCTGGCATCGCTACTAGGAACAACAAGCTACTAGGGCCTGGCCTTACTGCTAGGAGCAAGGACGCTACTAGGGGCTCCGGCATCGCTACTAGGAACAAGAAGCTACTAGGGGCTCCTGGCCTTACTACTAGGAGCAAGGACGCTACTAGGGGCTCCGGGCATCGCTACTAGGAACAAGAAGCTACTAGGGGCTCCTGGCCTTACTACTAGGAGCAAGGACGCACTAGGGGCTCCTGGCATCGCTACCAGGAACAAGAAGCTACTAGGGGCTCCTGGCCTTGCTACTAGGAGCAAGGACGCTACTAGGGGCTCCTGGCATCGCTACTAGGAACAAGAAGCTACTAGGGGCTCCTGGCCTTACTACTAGGAGCAAGGATGCTACTAGGGGCTCCTGGCATCGCTACTAGGAACAAGAAGCTACTAGGGGCTCCTGGCCTTACTACTAGGAGCAAGGACGCTACTAGGGGCTCCTGGCCTTACTACGAGGAGCAAGGACGCTGCTAGGGGCAGTTGCACCATCAATGCACATGATGCTGAAGCCAACGGTGTAATGTACATTGCTCAAAGAAGTGGCCTCTGGCATTCGCACTCTGCAGTTCATGACTTCTCTTGTGATAATCTGTTTTTTCCCATATGGCATTACATGTCAAGCTGTTTGAGCCAATTGCTCGAGCCAAAGAGCCTGGTGAATAATGCCAGTCCTTCTCACCGACAATCTGGATCGTTACATTGTGATTCCTCTGCAACTTGGCACAGCTGATTGGGTTGCCGAGATAAGTCAGCTCATGGCAAGGTGTTTGGATCCAACTTTACTGTGCTTCCAAACGTTTAAGCAAAGTTGCGGATCATAATGCCAGGGCGCCTGAGCTCAAGCATCATTGAGATACAAAAGGAAGAACCCTTGAACTTTTGGCGTCAAAAACGCATCAAGGGTGACTGTCTTGATTGATGTCTGGTGACGCCAAGGCTTTGGCTGGTTCAACTCCGGGCCGCGAAAAGTACATGCCCACCTCAATATCGTTTCCATACCTGGCTGTGGTAACAACGGAATGATCAGCCAGTCTAGCAATTTGCGGAGTTTCTGGCCCTGGGGGGGCCAAGTAAAGAGGTAGGTTCCAAACATCTAGGAGTTTCGATGGCACCGTTGAAGAACACGAGCTCTATTGCGTCTTTACTACTAGGAGATGCTTGCTAATAGGCATAGGCTTATCTTGCTATAGCTACCCCTAGTTTCCTAACCCCCGTCCTGGCGGCCTACTTCCAACAAAAGGATATCTAAAAACAAACTCATTGCAAACAAGATTCCCGGGGCAGTCGCGTACAAACGAACGTTTCATATCCAGGGCACCTGGCCTCGAGCACGAGAGTGAGACACTGACACTGAGTTCAACAAAGCATCGAACATCTACCTGCAGGTCTCCAAGGCACGTGAAGCAAAATGGTAAGATGACGCTCCTGAAAGAGAGTGAAAGGTAGATAGACAGATAGATAGATAAATAGATAGGGGAAACTATAGGGGAAGGAAAAAGGGAGTGGAACTCCTCCTTTGATCGAGGTCTGATTGAAAATTATCCAAGTCAGACTCGGTGAAGCTGGAATTGTCCTCCTTGACACGAGTGACAGACTTCTGCCAAAAAAATGGATTCCGAAAGAATCAACATTATTAAGAATCCCATCACTATATAGCTAGCCACAACAGCAGCACAGGCCGCAAAAATCAAGGATTCAGTGCCAAACCTTTGCAGAACCCAGGCCATCCTTGAAGAAATGGACGGTCCAATCCATTGAGCACTGGGACATTTATATATGCATTGAAATGTGTGTGTATCCCTTGTTTCGAGGCACCGTAGCCGTCACTACTTGAGTAAACAAGGTTCGAACGGAAAATAATATATATATATATATGTTCGGAATCAAACTCCTGAAACCGCTAGTGCGGCACAGAAAAACATGTTAAAGTTCCTCTCATTTCCATAAAATGAAGCCAACCTCCCAGTGATAAACAACTCCTTCCACAGGTCTTTGCTCCGGATGTCGGTAGCTGAGACTGATGCATGTCTGAACATGATTTAGTTTATCACATCAAAACAAGCAATCATGTATCCTGCACATTTGCGAATAGAACTTTGTGATGATAATGGATGCTAATGGCATTTCTGTCCTCATGTGCAACTCACGGACAACACACAACCCGCAACAACAACAACAACACCAGCAGCAGCAGCAGCAGCAGCAACAACAGCAACAACAACAACAAGCCTTTACAACATCAATTGTTGTCACAAAAACCCATCACATTTTGTGCTCCAATCTCCCCAGACCGATCTGTGCCTTTACCAGGTATTTGAAAAGCAGGATGTGTGTTGAGAGTTTACAGGAAGAGAAAGGAGCCAAACCACAATCATGCAGCTGTCCTTTCGGCAACAAGCAACCTGGCGCGGATCCACGGCAGTCATCACAACTAATTAGATTCAATCTGCTCTCCACACTCGGGCGGAACATGGCACATAACAGGCCAAAGCACACATTCGGCCAAATTGCCATCATAAAACCCAACACTGATGATGGTCAGCATGTCCTGCTCCCGACACGGCTGCGACTCAGTGCCCGCACAGTCTGATATGCAGCGTCGGTCCTCGCTGAGTGAGGTCGAAAAAGGCTTCCTCGCTGAGTGAGGTCGTGGCAGTCATTCAGACAAATGGCATCGGCATTGGTTACTTTATGCATCTTTCCTTCAACTGACCAAGCCAAACCTGACAAGACACAGGACAAAGAGTGCTTAACTAAGTGGAGTGAGTCTGATGCGCGGCAAAAACGTAACAAACACTTGCACGACTGTGCAGCATGGCCTTCCCCAGTATTCCTCCAAGAAGTTCTTCGTTGACAGCGGAGGCAGAAGATCCGCAAATTCCAACCTTGGTGATTTGGGCTCAATTGCATGTGGATGTGGTGCACGACAAGCACCGTTTCCAGTCTGTTCCCGTATCCGCTTCAATCAAGGGACTTGAAACCTTGGGCTTCACCGCTGCTAGGCGCCATGGCTACAACTTTCTGAGGGTAGTTGGCTGAAAGTCAAACAGTGAATGTCGGCTGTCCGAGAGAAAGAAACTCTGAAAACCTCATGAGATTGGCTGATGTGCATGGTGGCCACACAAGCAACGGAGTCTGAACACTAAAATGTGGTAGCGTGTGTTGTTGGATGGCATTTGAATCATTATATAATTCCAGCATACTTTAAACAATTGCTGCTGTTGTCAACCAGTTTGGACAAGTAGCAATAGCAATGCAAAAACAGCTTGGGCAAGTCACCACCGCGTCGTACAACCTTCGCACCGGGAACATGGTCTGGTGGAGTGCACCCGAGCATCTGAGGTTTGGCACTCGGAACATACTCCTCCTACGGGCCATGTCCCGCATTGTTCCGCCACTTCCCGATGTGTTCGTCGGGTGTGTTCTGTGCGATGAGCGTCTTGCATCCGCGCATGTTGACATTTTGGGCAAAAAGGACCTACCATTTCAGTTAAACGTGGCATCATATCCAGTGATTCTGCAGGAATCCACCTCATGGCGGCGAGACGCTTGTCAGCTCTGCAGCTGCGGTCCATTGGATGCTTGATGCTTGTCTCGGGCTAAATGGCTTATTGAGACCAAATCCCAGTCTTGTGTGACCTGATGAATCATCTCTTTATCAAGGCGGCTTGCAACTAATTTCACTAAGCACCCAAGCAGCACCTCATCGCACCCTACAGCCAGAACTCGCCAAAAAAAGCTGAAAGTCACCAGGTGGCTCACGGACCCTGGGTCCACCGAGACCGATATGTTGCCATCCGCTCTGGCACCGGGGACGTGCGACGTTCCGACTTCCTCTCCGCACGCACCCACACTAAGAATTCCATGCGGCCATGTTGGCGGTCCGAATGCTCCCTGTAAAAAAACGAATTGTAAGTTCCATCTGTGAGGCGGTATGTTTCCGGTGGTGAGGCAGAGTGGCGTGGCCTTACGCTGGTGAAGTGGTTGGTTGCCCTTCAGGTTCAAAACCGATAATTTGGGAAGCTTTGCCCTTTGATGCACCTTGTTGAGCCTTGTTGAGTTGCATCTTGTCTGAAGCTATATAACTTGCCAAACCATTGGAACCCGTCAAATCGGCAAAGAATGTCGGTGATCTTGACCCAAAACACAAAGCATCAAGACCCGAGAGGTGTCCTTGGCAGGCTCCTCGGCGCGGTTGAAAAGCGCCTCCCAGCTTTCACAAAGCCACATGGTTCTTTTTGACTTGCCCCAGCAAGTGCCACGTTCGTGCACCAGCAATGCAACAATGCAAAGCACACAACCCAACGTTTACAAAGTCTTGTCATACTGATTCGGGTGGGGGGCCTGTCAAAGTACGTATACGGAATGCCAGGAAGAAAATCCTGTTCTAAGAGAGGGGGTGCAATCAATCCAGATCATTCTGAGCGCGATACTCCCAAAAATTCCCAAATCTCCAAACTGGACCAGTCACCACTCAAAAATACTCAATGTCACTGAGTGACCGATCGACTCAAAGACTGCATCTCTCATCATGTCTCTATGATTCCGAGGGAACAAGGGAACTATTTGACGAGAAAAGCGCACATATTTAAGTTGAGAAAAGAACGGGCCACGACCCAAGGACACCCAGGAACATTGGGACAAAATCAGAAGGATTGATTATCATTGACCAATCCTTTAATGACTTGAAGTTGGAGAGGCGGCATCCGCTGTGGACACTCACCGCCCCGTAAGAACCAAATGCTCACAGTTTGCAAAGCTCTTGCATCTGCTTCAGCCTCCTCCGCAAAAGCGGAAACTGGGAACTGGTTAGAGACACTACCTCCTGGCCATTCATTATTCACCTGAATGGATCAGGACCTGGACGGAACACTGACTGATCATCTTGCCAATGCGATGTCCTAATGTCACGGATTGAATTCTTACAAGTTGATCAGTGAATAACCTCAGCTCCACAAACAATTTGAGTACAAAGCGCCCAACTGAAATCCGGGGTCCCGAAAATGAGAGGTTGAAGCCCAGCAACATTTGCATTGTTGGACGGGTTGCATCTGCTGGCCATTGCTCGAGATTTAACTGTCTGCCGTGGTCACCCTAAAAGAAAACCAAGGACACTCAAGATGTAGACAGTCAACCACCTTTGATCTCAGCCCAAGCAGACTTCGATGGAAATCGCGGGCAAAAAAACTCTGTAAATTGCTTACCAGGGCACTCAAAATGTAGACAAGCCACCGAAGGACACTCATCAAGACAGTTGAGAGCATTTTCAAGGACATTCACAAATTGAACGCTGCAATACACTCAAGGACACTCAGGGACATCCTTGAATGTCCTTGAGCGTGTCGTTCCAAGAAGGACACCGACCACAATGCGTTCAGAAGTTCAACTATTGAAGCTGCGCCTGGAGTAGTGCCACAGACTCTGAAGAGCTTGGATCCTTGCAGCAGGTCTTGCGGCATTGCTCTGGGCTCCAAGCACCACTTACGGCTGAGTCTTTTGGCTTCCAAGGCTTGAAGTACTCGTTGAACCTTTGTGAGGCAAACAGGTAAACACTGGAAGGGAAAACATATCTTGCCCTCTGCTCAAGCAGCTGGCCTGCGGATCAAACGCACCAGAAGGTAGAAGACCAGAGCGATTTAGCCTCGCGTGCACCATCTTGCAGTGAACCGGAGCCATTAGAGAATCTCTGAAAGGCGTTGAACAATTTCCGTACTGTAAACATGTTGAAGAGATTTGCGAAGCTAAAATGAGAGTTTGACAAATGGTCAGCCGTCATCCGCTCCTCAAAACGGTGCTCCGTGCAGCCTCTCTGTCATGGCCAAACCATTCCAAAAGTGGTCTAAAACTAAATCACTCCAAGCCATTCCATTCTCCATTGCCTCATTGCCTTTTCTGCACTCTCAGTTTCGGACGCCGGGATCGGTGGCCAAAAGGGAGGCTAGCACTTTGGCAGCCTCTGGGGGCGCCTCACAAG